TTTTTTTTTTTTTTGAAGTTTGCTGCAATCACTATGGAAGATGTGAGTTCAGAAATACGTTTCGAGAAAGGTGCAACCAAAACGCACACAGAGGTTTAAAAGAAAGCAAAACGTGTGGACAAGTGACAGGACCAAGATTGCACAGTCTAAAAGGAGGCAAAACGTGTACATGGGATCAAAATTAAACGTGTAGATAGGATTAAAATTACACCAACTTTCAAGTTACAACATATGAAAATTTATTCATATAAACATAAAAGATATTGAGGATCGAGCAAACTGAACCTCAATACCTTGTGGGAGTCAATATTACAAAACGGGCATCAATCCAAACATATTGAAAAGGTTCAACATTTCTCCTAGTAAATAAATAAATAAATAAATAAACCAAAACAAAACAAAATAAAATAACTTTAGCCTAGACAGAGAAAGGAAAAAAAAAAAAAGAAGGAAAAACTAACAAAAATCACTAGGAAATTATTGGACTGGGAAGACTACTTTAATAATTATATCTTAAAATAATATAATAAGAGACAACATTAGCAAAGACATTTTATTTTTTTTAAAACAACTAATAAAATTTTTATTGGTTTATAGAGTATAAAAGTTCTTCTTGCCTATTTAACAAAGGTATAATGGGACAACTTTAATCAATAAATGTAATTTATTGTTTATATATTTTTAAAAGATTAGTATTTATTTATTAAAATTTTAAAATCCCTTAAATATTATTTTGTTTTAACGAACAAAATAGTAAAAGAATAAATTAATCTCATTCCTGTTTTAAAATAAATTATTTTAGATCAAAAGGCTAAGTTGTAATAGGGAGGAAATTTGACCAAAATTTAAGAGGGGGCCAATTTTTTTTTTTTTTTATCACATGTTAATACAATAATATAATTACAACATACGTAATATATATATAAGAGATGACTTGCTTAGAAAAAATACTATAAGAGAGGATTCAATATGAAATATGATGTTATAAAATTAAATAATTTCATTTGTTCAAATTACAAGAGTTAATAGAGGAAAATTATCAAATAAGAAAATAATTTAAGTTTATAATATTACAAAATATAATTGTTACAAAATTTTATATTATAATTTAATAATAATAAAATAAAATTATTTATTAACATAAAAGATGAGATTATAAAATTAAATTATTACATTTATAATGTGACTATGGTAGCCAACTTTCAAATTATATATGATGGACAACTTTAATAAGTAAGAAATTAATGAGTCATTTTCATCTATATATTTTAAAAAGTCATAAAAATCCCTCAACTTAAGAGAAAAAGGCCAAGCCTCGTCCATACATTCACGTTGACGGTACAATTGATTTTAAAATGAAGTACCAATAGTAATTTATATATTTTATTGAGTTTAATGGTACAATTGTTTTAAAAACACGTATTAGAGTAGTTCATATATTTTTTTAAATTTAAGTAAACATTTCTTTTATCTTTTAAATGTTTGGTTAATAGGACGTAACATGTTTGCTTATGATGTTTCGTTTTCATTATTTTATATAGAGAGATGATAACACTTTGTTAATAATTTATTGGTAGTTTATTGTATTCCATCTTTAATTTATAATTATTTTTACATCTGATTCATTTAAACCTGAATGATTAATATGAAATGATAAAAAAGAAGAAAATTTAGCCTTTTAATATTTTCATTCTTTTAAATTTACTAATCGTTATTTGAAGTTTTATTTTTTCATTTCCCATTGTTTTATTTCGGCACATTTCTTATTTTGTTCAATCTCATATGATTATGTTTAGAAAATTTTGAATATTTTAAATGTTAGGATGTCGTAATTTTTATTTTTATCTTAATTATTGATGAAAAACTCATTTTCTTTTCATCTGGTGTTCATTCACTTTTCTCTTAATACTAATTTTTTTTGCTAAAAATTATCTATTTTGGGTCCGATAACTGTTTATAATATTCCATTGAATCTGTTATTAAGTCAGCCATATTTGCAAAGGTAATACTTTTTTCTTTCTCTTGACTATTTTTATATCATTTTTATATTTCCTAAAATTCTTAAAAATTTCCTTTTTTGTGAATAATTAGTTGGAAAACATCAACTAAATAAATAATAGTCACAAATGAAATA